TCAATATGTTCCTAAGAAACTTCATAGTAACACAAAACTATGTATCACAGACTTGGGGTGTAACACAAAACACGTTTTTTATAAAAATGTGTTACTGGCAACGATTTTAGTAACACAAAAGTTAACGTTACAAGTGAAATGTCACAAAAGTGATACTATATTGTAACACATGAATGAAACACGTAAAATGTGTGACAAGTATATTCCCTATAGTAACACAACATAATGTTACAACCAAAGTGTTACAGAGAAACATATACATGTGGATCATCTTCCAATTCGTGGTTGGCAAAAGACATTGCACTGGTGTCGTTCTGGCTGATAGACAATTGTACCGAGGTCCTGACATGACACCCGAGCTGGACTGAATAGATGATTAAAAAAGTCGTGTAGATGTGGAAGCTTATTATGAAGTTATTGGGCCAAGCTGAAGATATAGTGTAGATGGAGCAAGATCACGAGACGAATATGTACACTTAGGAAGAAAATCCAAAAACAATAAATAAATAAATTATATGGAGCTATCACTAGAGGAACATGTACACTGAAGAAGAAAATCTGAAAACAAAAAAGCACATAAAATTAGATGGAGCAAAATCATGAGAGCAACATGTACACTAAGGAACATGTTGGTCAAACCTTCTAGTTACTCGATTCTGCAATTATATAAGATGATCTAGGATATGATCTTTTGTGACATAAGAAAGTTGGTTCAATTATCACTCATTTTCATGTGATTTTGCTTTTTATGCTGAAAATCCAAGTTGACGTTTCTTGGTTCCATTTCTATAAAGTATAACAAAACCAGTTTCATGTGCTTCTTTCAAACTATGATAAAAGAATAAATCATCTTATCTTTGCATTTTAGTTGTCATATTCATGATGAGCACATTATGAATCGTAATAAATCATTGCCTAGAGACATTCTCAGTGCTATTAAGCCTAGGCAGTCTCTGTGCTACAATGTTGGCAAAGCAATGTTGAGAACAGTCCAACACCACCTGCGAAAGCAAGGTTGGCAACAGTCCAACACCACCTACAGTACCGTCATCATAGGAAGTAGATGCTAATTAAATTGCAACGCCATCCTCGCCACTACATAAATCATGGTTAAATAGCAAACAGCAAAAGTACAACTCTAAAGACCAACAAAAACATAGGAAAATGAAAGAGCAAACTATTTATTTAGAAATTCAGACCACAGATGATACATCCTACAAACATGACAAATTACGCCAATTCGTTCAGAATGAGTTGTAGGTATTTCTCATCACTTGTGTCATACTCATACATAGTATTTCTTCATCATGACAACCGATTAATAGAAATAAAAAGCAACCAACCAAAAAAAACTCAGAAAAGTAACTAACTAAATAAGTGTTCTCCCATACTGTGCTACGATTGTTTAATGATGCCTTTTTCTAATGGATGCTGGATCATACGATGTTTTGTTTGGCCAAATTTGCTTCCTGGTATGTGGTATCTATTACACAAATTTTGCTCTTCCATGTCAAATATCTTTTACCATGATCACCGGAGAACTGCGTGAAGGAAAAAAAAAGTCCAATTAGGGCAAAACATGGTATTCTCATAAATTCGCTATGTCCTATGTGAATGACCAATTCTAAATCAAGGATTTGTAGGGAAGCAGCTTGCTTCCTATGTGAATGACCAAACACAGTACCATGTACAAGTGAGTACTGAACACAAATTAATAGAACAGGTAAAATATAGAAACAAATTACAGAGAATTACTAGAAGCTGACAACAAATCTAGGTACAGAACAGTGAGCAATCCATCATGAGGAAGCAAATTGATGGGCTGCTCTAGGAAGGGAAGATAAGAGCAATGGTGCCTTGCAACCTAATGACCAAACATCTACTCCAAATAATTAAAGTTGTTTACTGTATCTACATTTAATCAGCATTTGTTAAGGACAGGGTTCTAGGGAGATGGTTCAATAATGGCAGCCACCCAGTATAAGGATGATGGATCTAAAATTGGAAATTCAGACATCAATAATAGCAGCCAACCAGTATAAGGACAAATAACTTATGTTATAGTTTGTACTATGTTGTTCTTGGGAAAAGTAAAATCAATCAGTTGCTTAGTCAGAAAACGTTAGGTGGGTGAAAGAATAGAATGTTACTTCCTAGAAAAAGAACAGAGAAAAAATGTAAACAGGGAACATAAATCCTACCATGCATCTCTTTGTTGATAGTATAACATTAAAAAGGAATCAGCTGAGGAAATTCCCCTGCTGCAGTTTGGGGAAGTTAAGCACAGTGCACAGTCCAACACCTTTTGGAAAACCACAGGAAAGAGTTGAAGTGGACCTGTGTTCATCTCCATACATCAAGATACAACAATACAGAGAGATTTTTTTTTTATAATAAAATATATGAGAAAGGTCTCTCCATACAAGTACATAGATATTCAAAATATCAAACCAATTAACCTAACCATGTCCTAGAGTTCCATTCCGGAATGCTAAACTTTAATGGTTCTAACGAAGAAAAAGAGAACCATGAGCTATTGTTCCATAGTATCCATCTGAGCTATCAGCACAACTAAGGTCCGTTCTCTACAACCAAAATCTAGATTATTTCTCTGCAGAGAATATCTGTTCTATACTGAGCAATTTCGACCTTCAGTTACTACCCACTCATATCATCAACAAGAAAGGAAGAGAAAGAGGAAAAAGAAAAGCAAATTTACTCTCTTCTCCTCATGCCTGATCATGCATTGCTTCCACCAAGCCCTCTGCAAGTAATAACATCACATATTTTTGAATATATAGCAGCATCATATATTAGAAATATATTTACATTACTCGTACAAAGCTTACAATCAACTACTTAGATAAAATTTTGAATATATAGAAGTGTCTCCAGCATATCTTAAACTCAAGCATACAAATTTGAAGCAACATAAGTTCTTCTGATCCAGTCAAAAGGCTGAAATAGCCTCATTATTAGTGGGCATAGTACTAGCACTTTAACTGACAAGAAACAGTAGCAAATGAACAGAGTGCACTGCAACACCGTTCAGTTGATTAGCATTGGATTCACGTAGAGAAGATTAGGTTCACAGAGCAATAGTGTTGGCTTTACTTGCTAGGAATTGTCATTCTGAAATGTGCATGAGAAAACATCTAAATGATTGGATCAACACATCAGAGGTGGTCAGAAGAAAGCAATGGCAGAAAGAAATGCATGCTGCTCGTTACCAGCTCAGACATGAATAATGCACCCATGTTTCAAATGCAACAGCTAGAAATTGCTCTCTATCTATCTCGTTCTGTTGCTCGCAATCAGGGCGTCGTGCCGCAGGCCGTTTGTCGATGAAGCAAATCACCGAGACGAAGGAAAGAAATCGATGCGACGCGTTTTCAATCCACCTGTCCGTGATCCGTCCACCTAGAACTAGAAGCCGAACCAACCCCCCAAATTCATTTCGCTCCCCAGCCTACGAACTCGCCGTCGCCGATTGGAGAGACCGAGGCGGCGGTGGCTGCGCTGGTCATGCTCCCGGTGCCCCGCGCCGTGCGGGGTCAGATCGTAGCGCTCGCGTCCTTGTTCCTGCAGACTTGCTAGCTCTGGACAGCTTGTTTTTGGGCCACCGTGCGTGGATACAATCGTTGGTAAAGCAATAAGAAACGAAGCCCTGGACCTGTTCATCTTCTCCAAATAGCGGCAGCAACAGTTTGAAACATTTTTTTTTGGCAGCAACAGGTAACAAAACTGCAGGTATGCATGGAGCAAGGGGGGGGCCACAACCCAGTTTGGCCTCCACTACCCTCCGCCACTGCTTGTTCCTGCAGCCCTCTCCATTGTGATCTCCCCGAGACCCCGACCTTCTGCTTCCGCAGCCATCAGCCGGCCTCCGCCCCTGAACAGCGCCCGTTGAGGGCACGTCATCCCCCGCCGGCCGGTCCACTGCCGCCCGTCAGGGGCTGCCCATCGCGTACTGCAGTTATGGTGGATGAGTTGGGGGATGGTGACGCCCGTTAGGCGCTGCCCATCGCGTACTTCACATTAACGATCAGGCATATCTTCTGGCACATGTGCAAGAATTGTTGAAGAATGTGTAGCAGAACAAATAAAAAACCAGGGACACCGTACAATCATACACAAATGCTAGCTTCCTCCCTCCATCCGTAAGTTTCTATTTAGCATCCTTCCCCCACTTGTGATTGAATTGGGTATTGTCGACTAATCATCACAGCGATTCACTAAATTTTTTTGTTTTCTTGCGATTAGTAGTTGCCACCTTGTGGGAGAAACTCGATTGACATGTCGTATAAGCAAATATTTGATTAGCAATTTGTTTTGCAGATTAGAGATGGCTTAGTGCAAATCGTGTTCTAGCATTGAAAACAGAGCACTTCTACGAAACATTGATAGCAGGAGGAGCTCAGCCGCTGCAGTTCGACAATTAGGTAAGCAAGCAGGTAGCGGTGCGTCGGCAACTTATGCAGTTGCAACTTTCATTCGCTCGCACAGGCAAACGCAAAGTAGATAGCATTTGGTTACTCAGGTTACAGACGCTCCGAGCAGCAGTTCAGTATGTGAGACTCTAACTTGGTCTGCGTGCATATGGCATTATGGCTTAGTGTAATACTTGGACGAGGATACTTTACACAAGAAATACTTACTGCTCGATTGCTTCACTAGTGTGGCTGATTAGTTGAAATACTTAGATGTGAATTATCCTATTCTTTATTCTTATTTATCTTATTTAATGTAAAGAACCTTTTGGACTATTTTTGTTCGTATATATGTGTCATGCTCTAGACCATCCTATCTGAACCATATCACTTTACTTGTTCTCAAGCTCCAAGTTCAAATAACATTACAAATATGTACTTTAGTCAAATTGTTACTATTCGGTTATACTTGATTCTTATTTGTGAATTATTCTATGCTTTATTCTTATTTTCCTATTGGTGCTATATTTTATTTAGATTGTGCTATATTTTATTCGTTGGTCTTAGGACATGGTGAGTCACCTTCTGTTTAAAAAAAATTATATATGATTCTTCTTACTTTTCCTTTACTGCAGAGGCAAACTGATCCTGAAAAAAAAACAACCACATAGAGCAAAGGTTTACCTCGCAACTCACAGGAAAAGGGGAAAAGGGATAAATGAACTAGTGGCATGCTACATGCACATGAGAATTTTTACAAATATAAAATTATTTCTGTTTTCTAATGTGCGGATTTCTTGCTTGTAGGTTGAACTGGAAAATCTTCTAGACACACAACCAGAGTTAGCACAAAATAGTGAGGGAGGAGTTGCATGGGAAGGTGATGCATTACATCGGGTGTTGGGAGAAGAAAAAGCTGGACAAGTGCACGGCATGGGATTGCTTCCAGTTCCTAAACAAGTTTATGGTCGAAGAACACACCATTTTAAGAATATTAATATAGTTTCACTAGATGACTCATCATCTGATGTAGAGACTCACATGTTGGAGGAAATAAGGCAACTCAAAGAGCATTCTAGAATGCAAGACAAAGTTATTGAAGAACTAAAAAACAATCAAAGGCACCATGAGAACCAAGAAGCAACAATGGTAACAATGTACATTTTAATTTGTAACTTCGTATTGAAATGTGTTACTCAAACTTTATTTCTTTTCTAGGGAAATTGTGCTAGGAGTGATCACAACAATTCTCAGAATCAAGCGGTGCTCTCTAAAAGAAAGGTATTTGATCTATTTTTCATGTTTTCACCTAATTTAGTCTTTTGGCTTTAATATTGTTTCAAATTTTTAGAGAGTTCACTGTGTTGCACCCAACCAGAATGATGGATTCCTTGAACACAGGGATGAATTGGTAAAGTCACTTTCTTGTGAATTTAATACTATTTTATTCACAAAGGATTTTTTATATTTTCATGCTACTGTCTTTTTTTCTCTTTACTAGAATAAAGAAACATGTGAGTCTGAATATAGTGATGATGACAGTCTACTTTTATCCACCACAAGTAAAACAACAAAGAAACAAAAGGTATCTATGAACCACACTTTGCTGTATTTATAGAGAAATTTTTGTCTTCATATTTCATACTTCATTTTATATGTGTAAGGGTCATCATGGAGGGCCTGGAGAGACTATGAACATTGCACACCAGGAGGTGGCTCATGACAAGGTTACATGCAACAAGCGTCAAGCACCTAAACAACTTCCTATAATGAAGGTAGATGAACATAATACACTTGTTCTAATTGCATGATCTTGATGTACAACTAAGGGTTGTTGGTCACTAAGAGATTATGTCAAATTAATGTAGATTGGGTTCATGGTGCTACTAATGACTTCAAAATATCCTAATAAGGCTAATGTGGCCTATGCAACTCTCTTGAGCACTGATCCAGAAGCCATTGTTGGTGGAGTTAAGACAGGAAGCCAACTCTACAAAGTGCGTATCGATCATGCTATAGCAAAAGATGAGCCATTAGTGAGGCCTAGGCCTGGGTGCAACAATATTGGTGATGCTCAAGCCAAAAGAGTCTCAATTGCTTGGCCTTCGATGTTTGTATGTTCAAACTAGCTTTCTTAACTTACATCATTGTACATATGTGGCCTAATTTGTAATCTTACAACTTACATTTTCTTTGCAGGTTCAAATGATTAATGGTTGAATTCCTACGTCGATGTGTACAAAGAATAATGGAAGAAGAAGCAATGGACTTTATGAATCCTAGCTAGTTCTTGAATTTTTCTTTCTAGTATGGACTATGTGTGTTTACTCTCTAGAGCCATATCGTTATGTACAAATACTATGATTTAATCTGAACAAGCACTATGTTTGAAATCATCCTACTATATGTGGATCTTGTTATGATTATTGAAATTTGTGGTTTATGTTATTTTGCAATGTGTCATGTTTGTGTGATTCTATAATAATCCGTGTGCCACATATATAGGCAAAACAAATATTTGTTTCCTAATCTGAATATGTTATAATAGATATAAATAAGTGTTACAAACCATGTGTTTCTTTATTCCATATTGTGCTCTACCATAATATAGAAGTGTTACTAGAACTAAAAAAAGTGTTACAACAGACAATCACTATAACACTAGGCAAATGTTCTCATAGATAAATAAATGTGTTACAAACTATGTATTCCACCATGATGTGAAGTGTTACTAGAGAAAAAAAAGTGTTACAGCAAAAATCATTGTAACACTAGACAAATATTCCTATAGACAAGTAGATGTGTTACAATAAACCAGTCTATAGTAACATGACCATTTGGAACACACAAAAAATGTGTTACTAAGAGAGCTAGTAATACTTTTTCCAACCTACAGTAACATAACTTGGTGTTACCGTATCCCTGTGCTGTTGTAGTGTTATCTGTCTCACAGAACTTCTTAGTTCCTATGCATAAGATGGCTATAAGCTTATAACCCGCTTCTCTTCTCTCCTCTGGTCTCTCCTCCACGTCAGCATACAATCCATTTGCAACCCCTTATTATACTTACTCTAAATAAATTTTCCTCTAACGCTGGTGAATGGGAAAGCTATCTGCCTACGTAGCTCTACCTGGCGCTGGCAGCCGCTTGGGCAACACACGACTTGTTTGATCCTATCAACTCCTTCACGAAATGAACTAATAAAATATCAACCAATGAGGCTCTATGACAGCTGGGGCCCAATGGCTATTTTAGCCAATCATCGATGCTACGGAGCTGTGTGTTCGTGCATGCCAGCTATTTCACACATGCAGCTATTCACACATACGAGTACATAATATCATTCATAAACCTCATTAATTTAATCTGTCATCAAGCACCCTACGACTTCAACTATTAACACACGGAAACTAAGATAAACACATATGTATATGTATATAATTGTACATTTTTACTCACTAATAAGTGTACGTCGATATGCATATGCAAGTTAAATTATTTTTCTTTTGTCTAAGAAAACATAGCAAATTAGATTTAACCAAAAACTATTTATTTACCATGATCATTAGTTCACTTAATTAATAGCCCATAAGACACGGGTTATTACAGCCCTGGTGGTTTGATCATCTACACTTGTGTTTTATCTTCTAGCAATGCTAGCGCCCGGACGTCCGGATGGACGGGACGTTTGGACGCCCGCGCTGCCCGGAGGCACCCGTCCGAGTGCTACCTCAAGCCGCCGCTGACCACTACTGCAGGGGCGTGGTCTGCTCGCCGCAACTAACCGCCACAGAGTCGAGAAACAAAGCCAGAATCTGATATGCACCGACCAGATGGAGATCCGCTACACTCGCTCGATCTACTTTTAAAACATCCAGATACAACACTTGCAATCTACAAAAAGAAGACAGATGAAACATGCTGTTGAAACACTTGAAAAAACACCTGAAAACACTTAAAAACCATTACAAACATAGACAACATTAAGATAAAACACTTGCAACTCAATATCCAGATAAACACACTTGCAACATACATTTGAAAACACATATACAACATTGGTAACAGACCTTTGCAACATACGTGTACAACCATTGCAACATATGCAACATCCCGATCTACTTTTGAAATATCCATCTAAAACACTTACAACATACCTCTAAAACACTTGAAATATACGTTTGCAACATGCACCTTCAGCAAAACCTGGCAGACGGACGGGCAGAGCACTGCATAGCGAGATCGGCCGTGCGGTCGCGGTGGAGAAGGAGGATGGCAGTGGGCAGGCGGCTACGCGGCCCGCGACGATAGGGTGCGTGTGGTGCCCCTAGCGAGCAATGCCCGGGGTGGAGGCGACAACAGCAGTCGGGTGGGTGCGGCCTCACGCGGGCAAGGCGGCAACGGCAATGCGATCCTGGGGAGCACATCGTGGCGGTGCTGGCACGACGGCGGTGGAGAGGAAGGTCGGCGAGAGACGCGGTGGAGAGGAAGACGTGCGGGAGGCGCGATAGAGCGCGATCGTGGTGATGCGTGAGTTTTTTTAATATAAACCGCGGTGACCGGAGGGGAGCGGATAGGAACGGATAGGATAGCCCTCTAGATGTCAGAGTCCACCAACAGGGCCGTCCGCACATTACTGTTTATCTTCTTGTACCTAGCTTGTGTACGCGTAGTTGTTTCTTGCTTAGTTGTAGTTCTTGTAGTCGAGTAGTTTAGCTCTCTAGTAATTGCTTCACCTTTGCTAGCTCGGTTAGTTGTTTTAGTGTGCTTTGGTAGCATGGTTGTGTGCTCTAGAGTTGTTTACTTTCCTTGCTACTAGACTTGTGTAGGAGGCTTGCTTGTGGTGAGTAGGCTATTATGTTGTCATTTTATACTAATCACTTTGCCCTAGTCTTGTACCTCTGCAAGAGAAATTTAAATAGGCTAATCACTCCTCTAGCCATCTAGATCCTTTCGGTTACATAATCGGAGATATTTACTACACAGAGTATCTCATGCATCGCAAGAACCAGCAGTGGTGTGTGCTCTACTTAGTTTGTAGTAACAAGACTATCATGTGTAATTATGTTTGTATGGACTTTATGACACTTGGTTTGTGCTCTACCTATTATGTATGGTTTTATAATTATGATGTATTCATTATCGAGTCATGTGATATATGTGATGGAGGTGAGATATATGTGATGTATTAATAATATCAAATGTGAAATATTAGACAGTAACATCTATTTAACTTTAAAATAAAATATATTAAGAATTAGAAATTAAAGTCATGGTGTAACATCCTTGATGTTATAAAGTACTTAAGAAGGTGATCATGTCATCATTATGCATAATCATCATGCATCAACTCATGAATGCATTTCATGTTTATATTATAGCATGCCAATGTTATTTATGGAGTGTTTTATATATTACCTGAAATAAAGTTAATACCAATGATTATGAAAACTTTGTTATGCATTCACTAAAACAAGTTTACTTTCATGTTATATGTGTTGACTTGTGTGGAGTGAATCAATTTCAAAACATTTGTGTTGATTTGGATTTCCAAAAACCATAATTCTCAGCGTTTAAGTTTAAACCGGAAAACCCAATTCAAAATCTAAGCATATTTTGGGGTTGAGCCTAAAAGCAAAAGTGTAGAGCTTGTCAAGGTGTACAAAGTTGGTTTTTGGAGTTTTCAAAGTTGTTTTATAAAATTTGAAGTAAATTGAAAAGGTGTAAATTCTCAAAATATCTTCTTTTTGAATTCAAACTTGCATTTCAAAATGTAGACCAAATTTGGGTATGGTTATAAAAAGAAAAGTTGTAGAACTTTGAATTTGGAACAAATTTTATTTTTGGATATTTTTGAGTTGCCACATAAATTTGGGAGTAATTTGGGTTTCAAAACGAGTGGCAATTATGTAATTTCGGTGAACAGTACCCGCGGGCGACACGTCACCGACGGTGAGCTTCTATCACGTTGCAGTTGCCGCCATGGCCATGTTCGACTTCGCGCTGGCATGGAGAAGGCTCCTACGTATACTTGGCCATGCTGCCCAAGGCATGGAGACGACAGGCTCGCTTTGCGTGGCACTTCCTCTTGCTTTTGAGCCGCCGAGGCTATAAGGCCATGCCTTCACCGTCGCGCACGGCTCGAAATTTAGTGGAGGCTTCTGCTGGCCTTGGTTGCTAAAGGCCCATGCTCCCACTCCCCAAAACCCTATCCCATCACCCTCTCGGCCTCCCCACGCGTTTCCGACTCGTCACCGCAAGTCCGCGAGTCCGCGCGCCGTGCGGCGGCGCCGCGACTTCCCATCCTCGACAAAGCTTGCCATAGCTCCCTCCGTTTGTTCGATCCAGCGCGCAGCCTCCCAAAGCAAACCAGCCTCCTTCATGAATCACGACCCACCCCGAAGCGGCGACCGCCTCTCCACGACCACGCGCCCGCCGGCGATCGCGTGGTGGCGCCCGGCCGGCGCCACCTCCTCCTCCATGCCCCCATGCGCCACACGCCGCAGCACGCCACTTCCGCCTCCTCCACGCCGCCGAGGCGGCTCGCGCTGCGCCCGTCGTGCGCTGCTCTCCCGGCCTCCCCTTCCCACTCTCTTAGTGGGCCTTGGGCCGGCATGGCTCGCGAGCTCATCGGGCTGGCCCGGCATGAAAAGTGGCTCTGGCGCAGGCCATGCTCGGTTCCAGCCTTCGCACGGCCTTAGGCACGCCGGGTTGCGTGATGCACGGCCTGCCGTGCCTTGATTGATTGCCCGTTTATCCTCCTACGTGGCTTGCTCTTGCTTTTGAGCCGCTCTATAAGGCCTTTCACGTCGCCATCGTTTTTCCGTCGCCGCCACCGCCTCCGCTCCGCCGCCGCCGTCGTGCGTCCCATCTTGACAAAGCTTGCCATAGCTCGTTTGTTCTTGCGCACCCGAGAAACCAACCTCGTAGCTTGACTTCGCGGAAACGCCGCCGTTGCCTTTCTTCCTCGCGGCTTGGCCATCGACTCGCGTGTTCACCGTGGTGAGCTCTTGAGCCTCTTCTTCTGCCATTTATTTAACTTCACCGGGTTGCCGATGCTCTGTGACCGCTGATTGCTCCGTTTATCGCTGCTAAGAGTTTTAACAATGACCGCTTGCTCCATCGTGGCTGCTGTGCTCGTCGACCCACTTCCTCGTTGATCGTCCGGCTCAGCCATTGACTCTAGCGTGTTCGGGGTGAGCTCTTGAGTCTTCCTGGG